ATTTTAAGAATAATATTTGTTTTGTTAACTATTTTACACAATATAATAGAAAATATTTACGAAATATAAATGCAGTTTTGGAAACGCATTCCTTTCTATCGATTAAATAATAAACATTTACTTGTTATGAAATAACAGGAAAATATTTTTTATGTGGTTATTTCTGACACTTATAATAAATTTGAATAGATTATAAAAACAATTGGTTTGGAAAATTTATATTTAAAGACAATTATGACAGCCTTAACGATCCATATATTGAAATATTGAAAATAATAATAATTAAGAATACCATATATTTTAATTTCATATTTATATGTAGCATTATAATTTATATTAAAATTTATGTTTAATTATTAGCAAACTTTCATACCTCTCAACAAATGTTAGAATATAATTATTCTACAATTTTGTTATAGTTTTTTCAATAAAATTTTCAATTAATTTATATTCTTATGTATATTTTAATTACAATTTATTATTAATGTCTATCAATTATTATAAATTATTTTGTCTGTAAATGTGATAATAAGTTTATTTGAAGTACCGGTACTTTTTATTTTCCCTTTATCACTGGTTTTTGTGATATAATTATTAGTTTTGTGATCAACTGTTTATCAATTATCTGACATTTTACCTTTTTTCAAATTATAAAGAAAAAATATTTTTAATGATAAATAATTACGAAAATTATAAAATAAGTTGCAACCCTTAGATGTTATCATAGAGATAAATACAAATTAATTGAAAATTTTATTGAAAAAACTATAACAAAATTGTAGAATAATTATATTCTAACATTTGTTGAGAGGTATGAAAGTTTGCTAATAATTAAACATAAATTTTAATATAAATTATAATGCTACATATAAATATGAAATTAAAATATATGGTATTCTTAATTATTATTATTTTCAATATTTCAATATATGGATCGTTAAGGCTGTCATAATTGTCTTTAAATATAAATTTTCCAAACCAATTGTTTTTATAATCTATTCAAATTTATTATAAGTGTCAGAAATAACCACATAAAAAATATTTTCCTGTTATTTCATAACAAGTAAATGTTTATTATTTAATCGATAGAAAGGAATGCGTTTCCAAAACTGCATTTATATTTCGTAAATATTTTCTATTATATTGTGTAAAATAGTTAACAAAACAAATATTATTCTTAAAATTAAACACAATCTCAACAAAATTATTCAAAATACAACACATTTATAATTAAACTGCTTCTTTAACACATGTATTGACAAGAAAAATATATTTAATTTACAAATTACATAATTACAATACATATAACATATTTTGTAAATTTTAAAACACATCAAACAAAATTTAAGACAAAGTTCAAAGATTCGGGTTAGGGATACCTGTGCAATGATTTCAGTATTTGAACTGCGAGATTATAAATATATTTTTCATTTATATTTATTCAATTCAAATGCAGTCAATGTTTTTAACTCAATGTAACTTAATTTTAGTGTATTAATAAATACTTTGTGTCTTGTATTCAATATTATTTTTAAAAAATTGTGTGAATGATTGTGTGAATAACGGAATTATACTACAGTATGTGATATATGTTCTTATATTACGGTAACTACAAAAGTATTAGGAAAGTGATCTTTATTTTTAAAATTTATCATACTTTCATCAGTTTTAACTAAACGTAAACTTAATTATTGTACTGCATTAAGTTTGAACAAATCGTTAGACCTTAAGAGTACAAGTATTAAAAGTGATTTTACATTACTATACAAGTATTAATTTAACATATGCTACATTACTATCCTAAACTTTAAACTTTAAAATGTAAAGTATAAAATATTTGCAAATTTTAGTTATAACTCAAGTCATTTCATAGAATTCTAGTTATTCTCAAAGGTTTAGAACATGTGTAGACAATGTGTTGAGTCTGGTTTATTTCACTTTATAATAAGACAGCATTTTTGCATTTAATTGTGATATAAATGTTTTATAATTTAATTCCGAAGATGGTTTCGGTTTTAGCAGTTATCATACTTATTATACCCCTGTGTTTGACACAAGAGCTCTCAAATAAAGACATTTTAACCGATAGACTACAATTGGCTGCACTCCAAGTCATTTCATTTCATTCATTCAATCACTCATTAAA